AGTTTTTCACCACATACGTTTTAATCAGAAAAAAATTCTCTACAAGATAGACTAGGTCCCGTCGCTGGCGCCGAACTTCGTGTATAAAGTGGTATGTTTCAGATGGATATGCTCAATATATAATTTTTCAATAAAAGAAAGAACATTTTATATTTATTTAAACTTTCAAGAGTTTCTTTCATGTCAAAGAAATCATATGAAAATAAAATCATCCCTCGATGTCTAATTATATATTATGATTCTTACTATTTGTTCCATATTTAATTGAATGTAAATGTGCAAGACCATCACATAATGATATAGAATATTGTAATAACTGTTTAATAGTTATAAATTGTTTAGTTTTGTTTTCTTTCAAAACATCATAAAGTGTACCGCATGGATGCCATTCAAATATTAACATATGACAAGTTTCAGTACTTTTTGCAAAAAAATCAGCACCGAAAAAAGCTAGAAGACAAAAGAAAAACAACGAATAATAAACATAGGAAAAAAAAAAGGAAGTTTTTCTTTTGTTTTATATACCAAGTATATTTGGATGTTGAATAAGATCAGTTTCAAAAATAGCTCGTTCACGTTCAAATTCATTTTGAAATCTTGTTTCATACATTTTTATTGCTCGATATTGTTGACCGATAAGACCAAGACGAACACGTGCATGTCGTCCTTGACCTAATTGTTCAAGAAATGTTATTTCTTTATTTACACGACGAGTTTCCTAGAAGAATATGTTTTGTCAAAAAAAAAAGACAATGAGATTTGTCATTTTAAAATTCAAGAAACTTACAAGTGGTACAATTTGATGATGATTATCAGATGAATTTGATTTCCATGATATTGTATCCGAATGATGATCAATAGGAAATAAAATTGAAGATTTTTTCTTTATGTGAGATTCAAAACTATTTTTATCATCTGTAAAACTATTTGATTTAAATGATGTTGACCAAAAAGTTTTAAATCTTAAACAAATAGAATAAAAATAAAAATTCTATTTATAAACATATTTATCTTACTTTCGTTTATATAAATAATAGATTATAATTACTAATAATATAAGAGCAAAAATAGTACCTATGATAATAATAGTACTGAAAAAATTAGTATCATTTGATTCAATTGAAATTGATTTAATTGTAGATGTTGATGCTAATTTTAAAATATATAAAAATTGAATTCATTTTGTATTCGAAAACTTATCAATGTTTATCTACTGGAAGATGTATAGACTGAAAAATAGAGGTTTCTCAACCGTCAGCAAGACTATAAAATTTCTACGAACTAAATGAATTGTGAATATTCTAAAAACAATTCAGGTTCTTAGCTTATTGTTACTTTGACTTGAAAATTTTCTTAGAAGGAGTCCTCAACGAAAATAGTTTCTTGTGAAATTGTTGTTGCGCCTATCTTAAAATACAACTATGGTAAAAGAATGTCTTTTACATTGTTAATAGAAATTGATAGATTTGATGTTCTTATTATTTCAAGTCGAAATTGGAAAAATTAGGTCTATATAACCCGACTTAAAAGCGATTAATCACTTATGAGACTACCTTTGTTAGCTTCAATCGATATTCATCAAAGGTACTGTGGACTGGTCTTTTATTCAGAGGCTATAGTTCGATGACTAATTTTCTAATTTGTTAACTGTAGGAAAAATATTGTACAACTTTGAGAGTATCTTACACCGCAAAAGTAATCAAACAATGTAGTATTTTCTTCTCAAGAGTTCAATTAATTGTTTTACCGACTATTGTAAAATACAATATAAAAGGTACATTGAAGTTAAAATGTGAACGCCTTACAGATCATATATCAATAACGCCTCGTTCTGATATATGAGCCACTTTGTTTTTTACATTTTCCAAGGATTAAAACAAAACATGATAAAGAAATGTATCTCAGAATAAATAAAATAAAACAAAGTCTACGTGATAGGAATTATGATAACAGTTTTAAATAAATTAGTAAATTAATGTTGACCATTCGATATTAATTTTTTCCTTTAAAGACATTTTCGTCATAACTGAAATTTTTGGCGTCTGTTTTTTTTTCAGAGTAAAATAACTTACATGTACTTGATTCATTTAATAATTGATAATTAATATTACAAAAGAATGAAGAACAACATTCAGTTCGATAGTTTGCATCAGTTGTATTGCACTAAATAAAATCGTTTTAGTTTGTTTTATTTTATTAAATATAAACAATAAAAACATACTAAAAAACGAGTAACATCACTTTGAATACATCCAAAATCATTAGTACCATTTGGTTTTATTGAATGTCGATAATAACAAAAATCATTTTCATTTACTGTTTGACAAAAGAAACGTGGTAAACAATATTTACAATGACATTTCATTCTAAAAATACGAAAAAAAAACAAAAAAAATTTCTTTTGTTCGTATTTCGAACAATTCTATACATAGTTTTGTATTCTTTTATTAATAAATTGTTGTAAAATTATCAAATGATACAATAGATAAAATAGGTCACTCAATTGATATTATGAATATTTCTAATTCTTTATCGTTTGATTAAAAACAATACTTTTATTCTGATAAAGAGATGCTAATTAAATAATTGACCAATCACATAAGATACTCTCTTACGATATTTATTTTTCATTTACAAAAAAAAAAGAAAAATATTGCAGGAGAGCTTTTTGGTACCAGTTTATTTTAGACACAGGAGAAAGGAAAGGAACAGTATTGATTTGAAAAAGTAACCAAAGAAATGGACAGAACGAAAAAAAAAAATGACAAGATATAGATGGCTATGACAAATAGATGACAGTAGAATGATCAAATGTTGGCTATCTATTTACCTGTTCTTTTATTACATTCTACTGTCATCTATTTGTCGTATAGAATGACTTTTAAGTTATATTACAAAAAATCAAGGGAAAATCTTTCTCCGTTCGAGAGAAAATTTAGTTCTACTAGCAAAGTATAGAGAGACATTTTTTTTTTAGTATACAAAAATTGCCTCTGACACAGGGAAGTGTTAGAAAAATATTATTTTCATACACAATCGGCATCGTTCTATGAAACGCAACACTTAGTTTTTTTTATCGATGTTTTTTCTTCGGATTGTACAATGATTGCGCTCTTCACTCCTATATATGTTATAGGCCAATCTCGAATCTAAGAATGGGACTAGTCCAATGTTGGATTGGAATTATTGTTGATGAACTATATTGTTACAATGACATCTCAGGTCTTGCAATCGACAATAAAGAAACTAAAGTAGGATTCATGAAGTTATGGATAAGTTTCTACAGAAGGACAACTTTTATGGAAAGTTATCCATGAGTGTTTGAGTCCGAACTTAATCTCTTCATTAGTGATTGTTAGACTTGGAGTGCCATTATGTCAACAAAATTCATCAACAAAAATTTCAATCCAACAGCTATGTAAAGAGTGACGGAGGTTTCAATGAAAATTTCTTCTCCAATCCAGTATTGGACTAGTACGACATATATATATAAGAGAGAGAGAGAAAGATTCTACTTTCGAATTAAGGCTGAAGAAAATTTCAATTAAATTTTCTCGATCTATATATGCATTATTATGTTCTTGCTAATCTTCCAATAAGTCTTTGGCGATTTGTAGTTGCATATACATTTGCATCTGAAACAAGTTGAAATGCATTGAAAATTTTGTAATTAATCGACTTCCATATGATGGTACACTAATAACTTTATTTAGTGTTTCATGTCCTGATTGATGTGATGACGATGGCATAAAATATTATTCTGTATTTGGTAGGAAAATATTTTTTACTTCGAAAATAAATTTCTTTAATTAGTTTCGATAAGAGATTCATCAAAATCAATAATTCTTGCATTTTCATTAGCATGCACATTTTAAATTCGTTTATCAATTGGAAATGATTAAACGTCATTATTTTATATGATTGTTTGTATATCGATAAAGTTGTTTCTAGTAAATTCAAAGATTTATTTTAACCTAAATAATTATGATGATGTTTTTATAGGTGATATTCCATATATATGCGAGTATTTCTGTATCTCAATAAGGAAGTCGAGATTCACAAGGAGTCAATAAACTTTTATTTTTAAATTAGATAATATATCTTTTTAATTTATTAGACATAACTGACACTAAATACTTCTGCTTTAATTCGATACAATAAAGAACTAAATTCTCATAGAAATGATTGAGAATATCTCGTCAACATTTACAACAAATCTCGCAATAATAATAATAACATCAAATAATATTAAACTACAATTATCGTCATTAGCTCAATTAATGAAAGCAACCAATCAACTTACACGAATAACCTTAGTAAGAGTGAAAAATAAATTCTCTTCTCTAAAACTTCATTCATATAAAATAAACAATTGTTTTAAATAAACTTTATTTGGATTGATCTTTTACTACAACATTTCCTAAAGATTATTCAACTGATCTCGAATCTAAATGAACTTCTTTTATTAATAATATCTTTTTAAATCTTTAAAGATATATTTACTGATGAAATGATTTTTCACGATAGACAATCGAAATAATTATGATCAGAAATAATTATCAATTATAGAATTCTAAATGAAATCCTATCACTGTTAATTTTCTCATCAAATATTCATATAAATATCGATTTGAATTACATCTCAAGTCTTCATATTATTAGCAACAATTGAAAGAAATTCTCTTTAAACAAACAAATTGGAAATGCAAAAAATTCATCGTCCATCAAATATTAATAATAATCAAACAATTTCACTTCGAGTTTGTTTTTTCTTATTTTTTAATAAGTTTTTCAATATTGTTTTATAGTCAATGATGTAATCATTTACTTCATTTGGAAATTCGAGAAAAACAAAATCTTTCAAGATCAATATCATTTTCAATTCTTGATCAAAATAGAAATGAAATTGCGAATAAAACAAAATAAAGTTCATCGAATTGAAATAATTATTCCTTGAAATTCAAATTTGATTATTTGCTCAATGATTTGACAAAATGTCTTAATTCATTTTCAACTGTGATCAGTCTTGCATATTTATTAATCTATAAGTTTAATAACTTTCCTCAATTGAACAGTGTGACTAATCGAATTGATGAATGAACTATCTGTTGCCCTTCAGATAAATTTTACTACTGTTTGTATGAATATCAATTTCATTTTTATATAGATTTGAATAAGAAAAGTTTTTATAGGTATTTTATTGATCATCAACAAACAGCTGATCATCAATCAATAATAATATTGAATTGATCAGAAATGATTGAGGTTTATTCGAATGTTGCAATGACTAGTGGACTAATTAGAAATGAACGATTTTTAATGAAGATTGATTCTTTGATTAATCATTGTGAAACTCAATGTTTTTCAACTGATTTAGCAACATTTGTTGATGGTTTCGTTATTTGACCTTCACCAGTCCACTGAAATTATGTTTTTGTAAATGCAGATTTTATTCGAAATAGAACTGTTTATTTAACAGTCATTTGTGTATTTGTTATTTACATCGTTTGAATGGTTTTTGCATGTTTATAAAGGTAGAAAAGACATTGAAAATTAGGAATAACACTATTACTTGATAGTCTTAAAATAGATCAGCATTTTTATCAAATTATTGTTTTTACTGGTCAACGAAAAGATCCTGGAACAAAATCAAATGTAAGATTTTTATGTCAAAGGAAAGTTTATTTGTAAATTGTTTCTACAGATTGATTTTGTATTATTGAATGATACTGATGAAACATGCATTCGTACATTTGCTGATTCTTATTGAGAAATTTTCCAAGATGATGAAATCGATGCATTTATTATGGTTGTTTCCAAGTAAAATTGCATTTTGCATTTTGTCGAAACAAATACAGAATAATTTCTTATTTTTTCTTTTGGTTTTTATTGAATATTTGTAGATTATCCTTGGAATAATTGTGGAATTGTTATCATAAATTCCAATGTTTTACTTGTTCAATTCTTTCGATGTATTTGATCTCATGATAAATAAATTTCATCATAACGTCAAGTCCTATATAAAATCAAATCATATTTAAACATGTTGCTTATATGTTAAACAGAACATTTTGTTAGATTTTGATTTAATTTTAGTGAATGTGATGTTGATGAAAATAAAAAGTGAAATCTTCATTGAGTTTTCCTTGTTGGGCGTATTGATTGCTTATGATTTCTGTGTGTTATTAGTTGGTGTTTCGATACATTTTCTAATTGTTCATGGAATTAAATTCGGTGATTTGAAAAAGTCAACAATGGTATAATGTGGAAGTAATGACAAATTGAAGTGGTTTTATCAAAGATAATCGAGTCAATTAAGAGACTGGGCAATCATGAGAGAATTTCAAATGAAGAAAAACGTTCATTTGAAGTTGGATGGGAAAATGAAACAAAGATTAAAAAAAATATTTTAGCTCTTCATCAATAGTTTGAAATATAAATTCAGTGATTAATTTAATACATATGTTTATATAAGTGATCAGGAAGTTCTAGTGGTGATGGTCATGTTTATGAATTTCGAGGTTGTTTATCTCTTATTTGAAACAACTTATCTTCGCTTGATCAATTCGAACGGATTGATAATCGGTAAAACGCGTCGACAGTAAGAAAAAAGTCGTTTTCACTCGTTGAATTCTTTAACTTGTTGAGTATACAAGTTTTAATGCGTTATTTTCTTCAATTTTCGCCATCAACGTGTAAAAACAACGTTTTGGGGGTTTATGTGTCTACACGGATAGATATAGAATTACTTATCCTCGATGGTCATACGAATCATCATGATACATCAAGCTGCACGTTACAAATGGGCCACAGTAGAGTAACGACTGAAGCCTAGATATTTCTGTTAAGTTTTGTTCGTCGTGAAGTTGTTCAAATTAGAGTCCCGCAAGGGTATGAATTTCGTTACCCTACCCTACCCTACATTTTTTTTTCGTACCCTAGCCCTACCCTTGGGTACTATGATCGTACCCTATACCCTACTAAATTCAAAAATTACAATAACCGTATACTGTGCATGTTTTCATTATTTATTGATGAAATGATGAAGTTAAATTTTACGAATGTCAAGAATAGTGTACAAAGAATATCACAGGTAATATGAAAATCAGAGAAATAGTACTACATGGATCACGAATATTATCAATAATATGAAAAGAAGAAAAATAAGGGAATTTGTTTTTTGGTCAGTATAATAATTGAAATGATCAGTAACAAAAATAATTCTAAAGTCAGTTAATTTATTGAATGATCAGTAAAAAAATGACTGATCAGTAAATTAAATAATTGATCAGTAATTTATTTTAATTGTCAGTTATTAATTAGTTAATGTTATAAATTAATCAAAAGATCAGTAAATCCAATTTTTCAACAGTCAATTACATAAAA